TGATTAGGTGTCTCGCTCAGGTAAGCTCAGGGGATGGCATTTATATCTGGTTGCCATTTTAGGCCAAAGGGGAAGCCTCTTGCTGAGTGGTGGAGATGGGGTTCCCTAGAAGACGTGGCCACCTCTGGTGTGGGTCATCTGGGGAGGTGGCCTACTCTCCACAGAAGCCAGAATTTAGAAGGTAGGGGAAGGTACTCCCCTCTTCCTCTGGGCCACACTCCCTTAGATATGGACTTTGAGGTTGGAGTGGTAGAGCCTGTCTGCCATTTGATGGCTGGCTTGGGCCAGGGAGGGAAGCAAGCAGAGGACAGCCAGTGACTTTTTTTTTTTTTTTTTGAGATGGAGGCTCGCTCTGTTGCCCAGGCTGAAGTGCAGTGGTGCGATCTCGGCTCACTGCAACCTCTGCCTCCTGGGTTCAAGCGATTCTTCTGCCTCAGCCTCCTGAGTAGCTGAGATTACAAGCACGTGCCAGATACCTGTAATAAAGGCCTATAAAAATGCACAATTTTTGTATTTTTTAGTAGAGATGGGTTTCGCCATGTTGGCCAGGCTGCTCTCAAACTCCTGACCTCAAGTGACCCGCCTGCCTCGGCCTCCCAAAGTGCTGGTATTACAGGCATGGGCCACCGTGCCAGGCCAGCCAGTGACATTTTGCAAGCCAGATTGTCCAGCTGCCTGTCCCTTTTGAAGTCTGTCCCCTTTTTTTTGGCCTCTTGTCTGCAGTACAGTTCAGTGTAAACAGTCCTGCTTGCTCTCCACTGTGCTGTAGGCATTAGGAGAAAAACTGTGGATCCCGCATCGTGCAGTCTTGGATACAACCTCTTTATACCTTGGTTTCCTCAACTATAAATCGGGCTCCTTGTAACCTGCTGCATAGAGCTGTTCTGAGGATTGAGCCGCTTAATGCAGGTAAGTAGCCCATTGGCAGGACCTCCTGAGCCCTTCAAGCATGGTGGTTCTGATTATTGTTACTGTCCATCAGGAACAGATGCTGTTTGTGCCCCACCCTGGTTCCTGCTGCAGTCACCTCTGCAAGCAAAGAGGCAGATTACTGAGAACACCTTCAACTCTCTGCCTGAGGACTTTTTTTTAATGGCTGTGGGAATATTCTAGAACATAAAAGGGCAAGAACAAAGGACCCTGGACAAAGGATCAACACCTGGGAAGCAGCCCTGAAGCAGTGGATAGACACCCCCACTCCCTCTCCCTCAGGGGGATAATTCGTGGTGTGTTACCCCGTGGCTCCACCGGTTCCCAGCAAGTTTGAGCTCCAGTTGCCCATGATGTGACCAGCCTTGTGATGCCCCTGTGCTCACTCCCTTCCCTCCTGTCTCATTCCACTCCCCGGTCAGTGTTCCTGGGGTCACCATCCAAATAAACCACTTGCAGAATCCTATTCTCAGCACCTGTTTCTGGGGGACTCATACCAAGATCCGAACATGCTGCCTCATCGACTGGTGGTTCTCAGCCCGGATTCCAGCAGAATCACCTGCAGAATTTAGCAAAATTGTCCTTATTCTGATCCAGTACTTGAGGTGTGGCCTGGGCACGCTGGTGCTTTAATGCCACAGGTTATGCCGACACAGGCCTGGGTGGGAAAGCGCTGTTCTGTACAAATACTTGTGGCCTCCTGAGGAGGAAGGAGAGTCTCTGGAAGCAAGCCAGGGGAGAACAGGGGAGTAGGAACCGCGGCACCTGCTTCAAGGCCTGGCCAAGGACTGATGGTGGGCCAGGCGCCGTGGCTCACACCTGTAATCCCAGCACTTTGGGAGGCTAAGGCAGGAGGAATGCTTAAGCCAAGAGCTTGAGACAACCAGCCTGAGCAACATAGTGAGACCCCATCTCTACCAAAACCTTTAAAACTTACCCAGGTGTGGTGGCATGCACCTGGAGTCCCAGCTACTCGGGAAGCTGAGGCAGGGGGATTGCTTGAGCCCAGGCGATCGAGGCTGCAGTGAGCTGTGAGCGCACCACTGCACTCCAGCCTGTGTGACAGTGCGATGCCCTGTCTCTTATAAAATAATAAATAAATAAGGACTGATATCAGATGTACCCATTTCCAAACCCCATCCCTTTTCATCGTTTCTCTCCTGAAGCTATCAACAGACCCACCACCAGCCAGTGCAGGGCTAGGAGGCACATTCACCCAGGTGCCCTAAATAGAGCACTTCCTAGCCGGGCGTGGTGGCTCACGCCTGTAATCTCAGCACTTTGGGAAGCCAAGGTGGGTGGATCACAAGGTCAGGCATTCGAGACCAGCCTTGCCAACACAGTGAAACCCCCGACTCTACTAAAAATACAAAAAATTAGCTGGGCCTGGTGGCAGGTGACTGTAATCCCAGCTACTCAGGAGGCTGAGGCAGGAGAATCACTTGAACCTGGGAGGTGGAGGTTGCAGTGAGCCGAGATTATGCTACTGCACTCCAGCCTGGGCAATGGTGCAAGACTCCGTCTCAAAAAAAAAAGCATTTCCAGCCCCTCCCCCTGCCCTTGGGTCCTGCTGGCCTGGTTGGAGGAGTCAGAAGAAGCCCACAGTTGTCGGAAAGCCCTGGCCAGGCAGTGGAGGCCTGTGTCCAAACAGGCAGAGGACTCCGGGGAAGGGATTGGGGTGCAGCAGGGTAAGTCCTGCCATTCAGGAGTCCAAACTCAATATACTTAGAGGGTGGGTCAGGAAACAAGGGGAGTGGGGTGTTTCCCAGACAATCACAACAAACCACCACAACCTGCGTGGCTCAAGGCAACCGGAATTTATTTCTTCACATTCACCCTGCTCAAGGGGAGGGGCTGGAAGTGCTGTATTCAGGGCACCTGGGCGAATGTGCATCCTGCTCTGCATTTGACTGATTGTGGATCTGTTGATAGCCTCAAGAAACAGTGAAGAGGGAAGGGGTTTGGCAACAGGGACACCTGATGCCAGTCCTTGTTTATCTATTTATTTTATAAGAAAGAGGGCATCGCTCCGTCACACAGGCTGGAGTGTGGTGCTGCGCTCATAGCTCACTGCGGCCTCGATCTCCTGGGCTCCAGCAATCCTCCTGCCTCAGCTTCCTGAAGGCCAGAAGTCTGAAATCAAGGTGTTGATAGGGTCCGTTTCTTCCAGGCTCTAAGAAATAAACCACCCCATGCTTTTCTCCCAGCTGCTGGTAGCCCCAGGCAGCCCTTGGCTTGTAGCTACATCACTCCAGTCTCTGCCTTATCTCCATCTGGCCTTTTCCGGGTGTATCTCTGTGTGCCTGAATATCCCTTCTCTGGTAAGGACACTACTCATTGATTTAGGACCCACCCTAATCCTACAGGACCTCATCTTAACTAGTTAAATCTGCAAAGACTCTAGTTCCCAATAAGGTCAGAGTCTGAGGTTCTGGGAGGACATGGATCGGGGGAGACACTGTTTAACCCACTACAGGGACCTAGTTCAAATGACCAGCATGGTGAAAGACCGTCAAGGGCTGCACCCCCAAAGGGGACATGCTGCCATCGTGTTTGTGTGACTGTGGGCCCAGTTATTTCAAGAGAAGCCAGAAATCTGGACTTCTCCTGTGAAGTCGCATAATTTTAAAATGTAGGCTCAGTATTTTTAGAACATTGTGCAAGACCAATAAAATCCACTGGAAGGCCTGCCATCTGGGCCCCCTGCGGGTGTCACTGGAGGGCAGAGCAGTGAGCCCACCAGCTCCCCGATCTGGCAAGTCCAGCTTCCCTGAACTACCCCACCACCCTCAAGCCTCAGGCCAAGCTGCCCAGACACCTCTCTGCCCCAGGGAGGAAAATCAACTCTCCCAGGTGCACTCTGGGGGTGGGAAGGCTAGGTTGCTTCCTAGGGACCCCTGGACCCCCTCACCGGTCCTGCTGGAGCCTCACTGGGCATCAGAGCCTCGACTGCCACTCCTACCTTCTCAAGGCTTCAAGCTTGTTTCTGGAGCTCACAGACGGGGCCTGGGGTATGCAGAGGGAGAAGAGAAACAAGCCGTTTACCATGTTTGAAATCCCCATTTAATGTGATCCGACTGCAGCAGCACACAGCGCATTACGAGGCAATAGGCCATTGTCCTTTGCCAGAGTGTGCAGCATTAATAATGACATAACAGCATTTACTGACACTGCGTACAAATCAGCAACAGCGGCACTGTGCGAGGACAACTGGCCCGCACACGCCAGCCACCTCGAGTGCAGAGGCCACGAGGTAGGGAGAGTTGCTTCTCCAATGCGTATTTTATGCTTTCTGTTTCACAACATTTGGCTAATCCTCTGATTAAAAGGCAGCATCTAGGATTTATTTTTATTTATGACAGAAGGCCATTCTACCGCACAGCTTGTGGGAGCTGGGAGCAGAACTATTGTACTTGCCCTGCTCTGCAGGAAAGGTAACCACTGTGTCTGGGGTGTGTGTGGCCAGCCAAGCAGGCACAAACCAGACAGGCAGCCCTCCCCCTCCATATAGGCCCCATCCCAGTGCTGGAAACACAGGTGAACGCTTTATCATGATCAGGAGATTCCATTTATTGAGCATCTACTATATGCCAGTGATACGGTTTGGCTCTGTGTCCCCACCCAAATCTCATCTGGAATTGTAATCCCCATAATCCTCACGTGTTGAGGGAGGAGCCCTGTGGGAGGTGATTGGATCATGGAGGTAGTTTCCCCCATGCTGTTTTCAAGATAGCGAGTTCATTCTCAGGAGGTCTGATGGTTTGTTTTTTTTTTTTTTTTTTTTTTTGGAGACGGAGTCTCGCTCTGTCGCCCAGGGTCTGATGGTTTTATAAGGGGCTCTTCCACTTCATTCCTCACTCTTCTCTCTGCTGCCACCTTGTGAAAAAGAAGGCTGCTTCCCCTTCCACCCTAATTGTAAGTTTCCTGAGGCCTCCCCAGCCACAAGGAACTGTGAGTCAATTAAATTTCTTTCCTTCATGAATTACCCAGTCTCAGGTAGTATCTTTATATCAGTGTGAAAACAGACCCATACAGCCAGGAAATGAACCAGGGACTCTAAATGTGTTACCATGTTCACATTGTTATTTAGATTTGCTTTAGCAGGGCAACTTTTTTTTTAATGACCCTGATATGGTTTGGATTTGTGTCCCCATTCAAATCTCATGTCAAATTGTAATCCCCACTGTTGGAGGAGGATCCTGGTGGGAGGTGACTGGATCAGGTGGCAGATTTCCCCCTTGCTGATAGTGAGTGAGTTCTCACAAGATTCCGTTGTTTAAAAGTATGTAGCGCCTCCCCCCACCTTCCTCCTGCTCCTGCCATGAAGTCACACCTGCTTCCACTTTGCCTTCCATCGTGATTGTAAGGTTCCTGTGATTGTAAGTTTCCTGAGGCCTCCCCAGTCATCCTTCCTGTACAGTCTGTGGAATAGTGAGCCAATTAAACCTCTTTTCTTTATAAATTACTCAGTCCATTCTCACATTGCTATAAAGAAACACTGGAGACTAATACAGACCCCCTTTCTTTCTGAACAGTTTCTCTGGTTGCATCACAGATCACTGCAGAAATATGGGATCAGCAGAATCAGCCCCCAAAGATGTCCACCTGTTAATCCCCAGAACCTGTGAGAATTAGGTTGCTAATCAACTGAGTTTAAAATGCAGAGATGAGGTCAGGCATGGTGGCTCACGCCTGTCATCCCAACACTTTGGGAGGCTGAAGCTGGTGGATCACCTGAGGTCAGGAGTTCAAGACCAGCCTGATCAACATGGAGAAACACGTCTCTACTAAAAATACAAAAATTAGCCAGGCATGGTGGCACATACCTATAATCCCAGCTACTTGGGAGGCTGAGGCAGGAGAATTCCTTGAACCCAGGAGGCGGAGGTTGCGGTGAGTTGAGATCATGCCATTGCACTCCAGCCTGGGCAAGAGCGAAACTCCGTCTCAAAAAAAAAAAAAAAAAAAAAAGCAGAGATTATCCTAGATTATCTGGTTGGGCCTGCAACCGAACTCAGGTTTAGCTGCTTGCTACCCAAAAGCCAGACATGAGCAGTAAGGTTGGAGGGAGGAAAAGCAGGTTTATTCAAGAAGCCAGCAAAACCAGGAAGATGGTGAACAAGTGTTCGAAGGTAACAGCTCCAATTTTTTAGGCTGGCCAGAGAGTTTTTATGGGAGGGGGATATGGGGAAGAGGAGAGTGTTGGAATCTAGAGGTGATGAAAGACCACAGACATCCGGACATCAGTGAGGGTGAGAAGAGGTTGGGAACTTCTTTGTCCTTGGTCCAGTCACAGTGTGCCTGTAAACCTTCAACAAAACATAGCTAGTTGTTTACAGACTTTGCCTTTAATCCCAGAGTTAGTTTCAAAAACTACATGATTGCTGTTTTGCATTTTGTCTCAGCGCTCTAAAATTATCCTAGCAGACGTGCAGGAATGAGTAAAGGCCTCTTAAACACAAATGGAGGGAGTGATGTTTGTTCTTTGCTTCTTCACTGTCGCAGGCCTAATGTAACCCCAAGTGCCGGAACTCAGAAAATGACACCCCAAAAATACGGTGCTTTGACATGCTAAGTACAGTCATCTCTCAGCACCCCTGCAGGTACCAAAATCTAAGGCTGCTCAATTTCCTTATATCATATTTGCATGTTATCTGTACACATCCTCCCATATACATCTCTAGATTACTTATAATACCTAACACAACACAAATGCTATGTAAATAGTTATACTATATTTTTTAATTTGTATTTATATTTTTTTTTTGGAGACTGAGTCTTGCTCTGTTACCCAACTCACTGCAACCTCTGCCTCCCGAGTTCAAGCAATTCTCCTGCCTCAGCTTCCCAAGTAGCTGCGATTACAGCTGGGCACCACCAGGCCCAGCTGATTTTTGTATTTTTAGTAGAGACGAAGTTTCACCTTGTTGGCCAGGCTGGTCTCAAGCTTCTGACCTCAAGTGATCCACTCACCTCAGCCTCCCAAAGTGCTGAGATTACAGGCATGAGCCGCCATGCCTGGCCAGTATTATTTTTAAATGTTGTATTGTTATGATTGTTTTTTAATGTTTTCCATTCGCAGTTGGTTGAATCTGCAGATGTGGAACGCACTGATGCAGAGGGCTGTATTTTGAACTAAAGAAGCAGCCTCAGAACCAAGGTCTCTTTGCCCTTCTCCAGTCTCCATCCTGTCTCCATCCCTTCTTTCCCGAAGCACAGGAGGGGCTTTCCTGAAGCTTTCCTTATCTAAGGGAAGTTCCTCCAGAAGGAATGCAATTTTCTTGTCCCCGGAACCTACGTATGCTAACCAGAGGAGAGACGAATGCCTTTGTTCCCAGTGCAGCTCCTGCCCTCACCCTCCATCACTGGTCACCACCACCCTCCAGGAGCCTGTAAGCCCCTAACTCTTTATGTAGCTCAAAATGCTATTTAAGCTTCAACCCTCTGGTCCTTCTTGGAGGCGCCTACCCTGTATGACTCCTGTGCACATGCACCTCATAAATGTGTGTCTTTCCTCCTGCTTATCTGTCTCCTGCTGAGTGCATTTTTCAGGCTCGAATATTGAACCTCCAGGATTACAGGCACCTGCCACCACACTGGGCTGATGTTTTTTGCATTTTTAGTAGAGACTGGGTTTCACCATGTTGGCCAGACTGGTCTCAAACTCCTGACCTCAGGTGATCCACCCACCTCGGCCTCCCAAAGTGCTGGGATTATAGGCATGAGCCACCACTCCAGGTCGATCTGATGGTTTTAAAAAGAGAAGTTTCCTTGCACAAGCTCTCTCTTTGCCTGCTGCCATCCACGTAAGATGTGACTTGCTCCTCCTAGTCTTCCGCCACGGCTGTGAGGCCTCCCCAGCCATGTGGAACTCTAAGTCCAACAAACCTCTCTTTCTTTTCTAAATTGCCCAGTCTCAGGTATGTCTTTATCAGCAGGGTGAAAACGGACTAATACAGGGGTGATGGAAATGTTTTAACTGGAAAGTGACGTTTGCACAATGGTGAATATACTAAGAATTTATAAATATACTAAAAACCACTGAATTGTACACTCTCAAGGGGTGAATTTTATATGAATTATATCCCAGTTTTTTTTGTTTTTTTTTTTTTAATGAAGTAACTTGCCCATGATTACAAAATTAGTAAGGAAAGTCGGGATTTGAACCCAGATTTGATCTCCAAGCCTGGGCTCCCTGGCTGCCCTGTGCTCTGACATCTTAACAGACATGGTGTGTTTGTTAATATGGAGGACCAGCACTGAATAAATGTCGCATCTCTGATGAGAGCTTAATAAAGAGAAAACAAGGAAGAAAGACTCGAACCCATCCTTGAATTCCCATGGTGAAGACAGCCCTCATTATTGCCGGCCACCAAACCCTCACAAGGGCCTCTGACATATTATTTTGGGCACTTAAACCTTTCCTCCTAGAATATGGGTCATAAGCCCTTTCTCTCCCCCATCTTCTCTCCTCTGACTGATGACAAAGAATCTTAATTAAGTGTCCCTTGGCTGCTGGTTTAATTTGATAAATATAAAATTGAAGCATGTTAATAAAGCCATCCATCATCCCAGATCTCAGCAGTTCTTTGAGCTGAAGGCTCTACCTTTTTTTCCCCTAAATCAATATTTAGGATGATAATGAATTGGGTCTTGTTCAGGAATATCAGAGAACACAGGGACTCAGTGAGATGCCAGTGGGGGCTGCTGGAGACCCAGGAAAAGGGGACAACTCCAGGGACCTCTGCCCCCGTTCTCCCGAACTCTCTCTCTCTCTCTCTCTCTCTCTTTTGAGACAGAGTTTCACTCTGTCACCCAGGCTGGAGTGCAGTGGCGCGATCTCAGCTCACTAAAACCTCCGCCTCCCGGGTTCAGTTGATTTTCCTGCCTCAGCCTCCTGAGTAGCGGGGATTACAAGCGCCCTCCACCATACCCAACTAACTTTTGGGTTTTTTTGTTTTTGTTTTGGTTGTTTTTCCTGAGACGGAGTCTCGCGCTGTCGCCCAGGCTGGAGTGCAACGGCACGATCTCGGCTCACTGCAACCTCTGCCTCCTGGGTTCAAGTAATTCTCCTGCCTCAGCCTCCCGAGTAGCTGGGATTACAGGCACCCGCCACCATGCCTAGCTAATTTTTGTATTTTTAGTAGAGATAGGGTTTCACCATATTGGTCAGGCTGGTCTTGATCTCCTGATCTCAGGTGATCCACCCGCCTTGGCCTCCCAAAGTGCTGGGATTACAAGTGTGAGCCACCACACCCAGCCTAATTTTTGTATTTTTAATAGAGATGGGGTTTCACCATGTTGGCCAAGCTGGTCTTGAACTCCCGACCTCAGGTGATCCGCCCGCCTCAGCCTCCCAAAGTGCTGGGATTATAGGTGTGAGCCACGGCCCCTGGCACCTGCCCCCAAACTCTCTTCCAGAACCCCATAATGCCCACCCCGTCCGTCCTCCCCACACTTCCCCTCCACCTACCCCACCATGTGGCCCATCCCCCGCCTCCGCACCTGGCCCCAACCCCTCTGCCTGTTCCTCTAACTGCCAGGCCCAAGCCCTTATCAGGTGCCTCTCCCACCTCCTCGCCCAGCTTCTAGAACTGCCCCCTCTTAGTTCCACGCCCTCCCTCCATGGAGTAGAAAGCATTTCGTGTGACTTGCAAGTCTCAGAGAAGCCAGCCCCAGCTCCTGGGCTGCGCTCAGCCCCACCAGGCGCACCTGAGCCCCAGGCATAGCTCGTCCAGTCCTAGCCTTACCCTTGGCCGAGCTCAAGAGCCTTGGGCGGTAGGATGTCCTGACTCTGTTCCTAGCGGCTCTTGCCTTGGAGGAAGAATTGAGTCAACACAGGCAGGGACCACTCAGACATGTAGGCGCTGCCTTCCAAGTTCCCCGTCCTGAGTTGTCCAAATTTCTGTCTGCCTCAGGGCTTCTGTCATCCAGGGTCTCGGATGGCTCAGCATTATTCTCTTTCGAAAGGCCCCTCCTTGGCTTCCTGACAATCCCGCCTGTGATATTTGAAGCACGCAGAAATACCACTTGCACATGGTTGAGAAAAAGGTCATTGCCTCACAATGAGTGCGTGGTCAGCTCGTGCTGCAGTAACAGATCAAAGACCAGGGACTTAAACAACGGGCCTCACTTTCTCACAGGTCTGGCGGCCGGACGCCCAGGATCAAGATGTTGGCGGATCTGAAGGCTACTGAAGGACTGTCTTCCTGGCTTGCAGGTGGCCTCTCCTTGTTGTATCCTTACTGGTGGAGAGCGGAGCGCAAGCAAGCTCTCTCTTGTTGTCTTTTTATAGGGGCTTTCATCCATCTACGCAGGCTCCACCCTTTTGACCTAATTACCTCCCCAAGGCCCCATATTCAAATGCCGTCACACTAGTTGAGGTTTCAACATATGAATTTGGCAGGGGCAGAAAGCAAACATTTCAGCCATAGCCCTAAGCTAACCCTAAGACTACCCAGCATAGAGGGGGAGGTTTCAGTGAGCTGAGATCATGCTACTGCACTCCAGCCTGGGCAACAGAGCAAGACTCTGTCTCAAAAAAAAAAGGAAGACTCCCCCAGTGTAGTATCTTATGTAAAAGCACAGACTTTGGATCAGACAGCCCTGGGTGCACATCTCAGCACTGCCACTTACAGGTTGCATAGGCTGGACCACCTCTCCTGCCTGGCTGGGCTTGGCCTCCTCAACCATATAAATGACATATAATGCTTGGCTTAGCAGCTCACACCTGGAATCCCAGCACTTTGGAAGGCCAAGGTGGGAAGATCGCTGGAATCTAGGCTTTCGAGACTTAGCCTGGGCAACATGGCGAAATAAAAAATACAAAAATCAGCCAGGTGTGGTGGTGCACCTGTGGTCCCAGCTCCTAGGGAGGCCGAGGTGGGAGGATCACTTGAGCCCAGGAGTTTGAGACTGCCACGAGCCATGATTGTGCCATTGCACTCCAGCCTGGGTGATGGAGCAAGACCCTGGCTCTAAATAAGTAAATGAATGATGCCATAAAAGCACCTCCCTCCAGCCAGGCGCGATGGCTCACACCTATAATCCCAGCACTTTAAGAGGCCGAGGTGGGCAGATCACCTGAGGTCAGGAGTTCAAGACCAGGCTGACCAACATGGAGAAACTCCATCTCTACTAAAAATACAAAAATTAGCTGGGCGTGGTGGCAGATGCCTGTAATCCTGGCTGAGGCAGGAGAATTTCTTGAACCTGGGAGGCGGAGGTTGCAGTGAGCCAAGCTCGCGCCACTGCACTCCAGTTTGGGCAACAAGTGCGAAACTCCATCTCAAAAAAAAAAAAAAGTGCCTCCTCCCTCGGGCTGTGGTGAGGACTGTGGGGCACTCAGTGGGGCCTGCACATACAGCTTGCAGGATTCATATCTCACAGGGGAGCCCCCAGGTTCTGGCGCCTTCTCTCTTTCTCCGCAGCTAAAACCAAAGCCTTGACAGCCACCAAGATCTGTCCTCCCGGTGCTAAGGCCCCGCTTCTCCTTCTAATTTGGTGGTTTTATCAACCAAGCCCAGAGTCATCCTCAGGCCTAATGGGTAGAGATAAGAATATTCTTCATTCCTGTTTCTTAGAGAAAGCAGGCACTGCCTGGAGGGACCCGAAGTAGATGGGCTTGCAGTTGGCTCCCCGGGTGACACTGACGCTTCCCTCAGTGTCACCATCTGCGAGCCGTGCAGTCTGGAGATGCTGCAGGCCTGAGGTTAATGGCAGACTCTGTCATTTCCTTGTACATTCTGCAACTACAGTTATTTGTAAGACACGGCTGGGAGTTTGCCCCTAAGAGCTATTTTGGTTGGTTGCTGGTTAGGTGTATGTATGGTGCATCACTGCATTTAATTGGCACGATGGTGTGCACTGTTGACATACTCCCTTTGATGTCTGGAACCTGGAAAATCCAGGGACCAACCAGGTCAATGAGTGGAGACACGGGGCCCCAGTGTGCACTTGGCCAGGGCACCGAGAATTCCAGTCCCTCTAGAGCTCATGGTAATGATGGACAGGGCACTTCCCCTGAGCTGAACCTTACCAGAGCATACTCTGCTTCTTGTTTAAAAAAAAAAAACAAGGAGAAATTCACATAACATAAAATTAACCATTGAAAAACATACAATTCGGCCAGGGGTGATGGCTCACACCTGTAATCCCAGCACTCTGGGAGGCCAAGGCGGGTGGATCACCTGAGGTCAGGAGTTTGAGACCAGCCTGGCCAACATGGTGAAACCCTGTCTCTACTGAAAATACAAAAATCAGCTGGGCGTGGTGACATGCACCTGTAATCCCAGCTATTCAGGAGGCTGAGGTGGGAGAATCACTTGAACCCCGGGGTGGAGGTTACAGTGCCTACTTCACTCCAGCCTGGGAGAAAGAGCGAAAGTCCATCTTGAAATAAATAAATAAATAAAATACAATATACAGTTCAGTAGCATTTAGTACATTCACTTTTTTTGTGCAGCTACCACTTCTATCTCCAAAACATTTCATCACCCCAGAGGAAGACTCCATTCCCACTAAGCAGCCACCTCTCCTTCTCCCCTCCCCCAGCCCCTGGGGACCACTAACCTGCTTTCTCTCTCCATGATTTACCAATTTGGGATATCTCACATACATGGGATTATAAAATATGTGCTCTTTTATGCAGTTTTCCTCTTTTTTTCATTGAGACAGGGTCTTGCTCTGTCACCCATGCTGGAGTACAATGGCATGATCACGGCTCACTGCAGCCTCCACCTCCAAATGATCCTCCTACCCCAGCCTCCCAAGTAGTTGGGACCACAGGTGTCCACCACCCAGCCTGGCTAATTTTTTTTTTTTTTTTTTTTTTAGAGATGAGGTTTTCCAAGCAATCCTTCTTCCTTGGCCTTCCAATATGATGGGATTACAGACATGAGCCACCATGCCCGGCCTTTTGTGTAATATTTTCAAGGTTCATCTACATCGTAACAGATATTAGAACTTCATTCCTTTTTATGACTAAATCATATTTCATGGTATGGCTACACCACATTTTGTTTATCCATTCATCAGATGATGGACGTTTACTGTGAATAATGATGCACTGGCTCTCCACCACCGCCTCCTCCTTCTTCTCACCCTCCTCCCCCTTGTCCTCCTCCTCCTCCTCTTCATTTTTCTCCTTCTCCTTCGTATGATTATTCTTATTCCTCTCCCTCCCCCTCATCTCCTTCCTCCTCCTCCTCATCTCCTTCCTCCTTTTCCTCCATCTCTTCTTCTTTGTTTTAGTTAAAAATTTTGGCTGAGTGAAATAGCTCATGTTTGTAATACCAGCACTTCAGGAAGCAAAGGTGGGAGGATTGCTTGAGCCCAGGAGCCCAAGACCAGCCTGGGCAATGTAGTGAGACTCCCATCTCTACAAGCACTCAAAAACTTAACCAGGCATAGTGGCATGTGACTGTAGTCACAGCTGCTCAGGAGGCTGAGGTGGGAGGATCACTTGAGCCCGGGAGGTTGAGGCTGCAGTGAGCTGTGATCACACCATTGCACTCCAGCCTGAGTGACAGAGTAAGACCCTGTCTTAATAATAGTAAAGTAAAATAATTTTGCTTGAAAAAGTAATACTTGTACATAGTACAAAATTCAAAGGGCTCTCATAGAGCACATGGTGAATTTCTTTTCCACACCTGCCCCCCACAGCCATCCAGTTCCCCTCCATGGAGTCAACCTACGGCACCAGTTTCTTATACCTTCCTGTATCCTTAGCACTGTTTGTAATGTGTGGCAATAGACACTAATACAGGCCCTTCCTGCTTTGTGGGTTGAATGTTTGTGGAAGGCATCTGGAAGAGCTGTTCAGTTAGAAACAGTTCATTCGCTCCCTGGCTAGAAGCCCCCTCAAGAAAGAATCCAAGCCTCAAGTGAAGACCCCATTATGGAGGTGTTAGAAAAATTTATCCAGAGTGGTAGAAATGGTATGAACACAGCAATAAATTAAGAGTCAGTTGTGGCCAGGCGCGGTGGTTCACGCCTGTAATCCCAGCACTTTAGGAGGCCGAGGCAGGTGGATCACCTGAGGTCAGGAGTTTGAGACCAGCCTGGCCAACATGGCAAAACCCCATCTCTACTAAAAATACAAAAATTAGCCAGGTATGGTGGTGGGTGCCTGTAATCCCAGCTACTTGGGAGGCTGAGATAAGGGTATCACTTGAACCCGGGAGGCAGAGTTTGCAGTGAGCCAAGATCATGCCACTGCACTCCAGCCTGGGCAATAAAGAGCTAAACTCCATCTCAAAAAAATTAAAATAAAATCAAATAAGTCAGTTGTGAAGATGGGAAGACTAATTAGCAGAGGGAGAGGCTCTTCAAAGCAGGCACGGAGCGCCTCATTCAACAGCTGTGCCTTAACTATGATGGGAGGTCCCCATGGCAGGGAGGGAGGAAGTCAAGGGTCACAGCTGGAAGAAAAGTGAGCTGAGAGGAAAGCAATCCCGTAGCTGATCATTTATTTGGGAGAGCCGGGCCAGGTCCCGACTGCCTCATAGACTTGAGGCCCAGGGCTGCTATCTTTAAAACAGTCCACCCACGAGGTCAGCTCTGAACTGGCTTCTGGGAACTTGGCACTTGAACCATTCCTTCATTCCCTGGCTGATAAGGGTGACTCACTGTGCCTAGCCTGTATATGCAAACAATATGGGTTAAGATAAATAACTGCTTTTTTTTTCTTTTCTTCCTTTATTTATTTATTTATTTATTTATTTATTTATTATTGAGACAGGGTCTTGCTCTGTTGCCCAGGCTGGAGTGCAGTGGTGTAATCTTGGCTCATTGCAACCTCCACCTCCCAGGCTCAAGTGATCCTCCACCTCCTGAGTAGCTGGGACCACAGGTGCATGTCACCACGCTGGGCTAATTTTTTTATTTTATTTTTGTACAGATTGGGTCTTGTAATGTTACCCAGGCTGCTCTAGAACTCCTGAGCTTAAGCGAGCCTCCTGCCTCGACCTCCCAAAGTGCTGGGATTACAGGCATGAGGCATTAAACCTGGCCCAACACCTGCTTTTCTTATGGGAGGGTTTTTTTTTTTAAGTTGCTCAGCAGGGATTGCCTATGTGATCAACCCTCAGTAAAAACCTTGGGTGCTGAGTCTCTAAGGGATATCCTTGGGCAGACATATTGCACATGTGTTTTTCATGGCTGGGGAAGGAGCATGCTCTGTGAGCACCCTCGAGGGAAGGAGGAAGCCCCTGATGGCTGTAACAGAATTCTGCAAACTCCACTGG